TCTCTCTCTCTCTCTCTCTCTCTCTCTCTCTCTCTCTCTCCCTCACTTGGCATATGACTAACCCTTCTCCCCTCACTTGGAAACATTGCCAGGGTACGGACGGTGACCGAAATCAGACCTCACTTGGTGGAGAAAGAGGACAAGGGGAGGATAGCCGGTCCCTTGTGCCACCAAGAAGGCAAAAGAAAAAACGTTTGAAAAAGTGGGAGAAAGGCGGGGTCCGGAAGGAAGCATAAGTTGAGAGAGAGGTCAGTTTGACTCAACCATTTCCCCGATTGCATGACTATGATAAGAGAATGGGCTGATTGAGCATCAAGAGGGAACAAAGAGCAGCCAAGGGATTTGAAAAGATAGGCATGTGGGAAGGGCTATGTGTTGACCCCCAACGGGCCAACGGGGGCAACGGGGGATTGTATGGATTCTCTTGCTTGTGTGGGATTGTGCAGGTGAGTGGTGGCTAGAAATGCCTTGAGCGGGATAGGGGCGAGAGGAACTGGGCACCAAGAGTGAAAGGGAAGAGGGGCAAAGGGGCTACAGGACCCTTGACATAGAGCCAACCCATGAGAATAACTTTTGCGCTTAAGGACTTGGAGTGAAAATGAGAGTGCAATCATACCAAGGAAATTGTGATGTTATGTGTGCATGCATATGAGGACCCCGAAAGGACTAAGGGACCTACTTCAATGAGGAAAACAACAAATTGTGAGATCGATGGATGCGTAGAGGCGAATGGGAGGACAACTCCGCCGCACCCCGATGACGCCATATAGCCACAATGCTTAGGGAAATGATGCGTGGCCTAAGGATGACGCTCAGCCTACGCACAAGAGAAGAGAAACATTCAAAGAATCCTTGGACTGCCTGCGTATTGAAAGGAGCAATTGCATGAGAACACAACAAAGAGTTAAAAAAAAAATCAGTGTTGCGGAACGACCAGCGAGACTACCACCCGACGTGAGGGCTGAGTTACATCCCTAATGTCAAAGCTCTCTCGCGCGATGGTCCACCCCCATCCATCTCAAAGTACTAGGTGGGGGTGACCTCGGGGCGAACAGCCCGCGCCCCGAGCATGAGCGTGGGCGGTCCGAGCCAACTGGGACCCCCAGTGGGGTCGACTAAGGCTCGAAAGTCTACCACGGTTCGACCCTACAACGAGATTTTGAAAGAATGGATGCAGAAGCTCTATGATCGACATGGAATGGGAGAGAGAACAGATCGGAGGGAGGGGGGGGCAAAAGCAAGGATAGTAAGTAGGAGAGGAAGAGGAGGAGGGATTCAAAGAAATATACTGAAAGATAGGGAGGATAAGAGAGCGAGCGACCGCGCACGTGCATGCATGTGCACGCGCGCGCGCGCG